GGGGCACAGATGGCCCACTCGTCCAAGGCGCCAAAATTCGCTGTGCAGAGTTGCGTCCCTTAGACGTGCCAGAGACCTATATGATCATGGGTTCGAATGCCAGATTCGCGTTGATAATGCTTCTAGGTTTGTCAGAACCATACCCATAGATTTGGGAAAGGTGGTAGGCATCTAAGCATATTCACTTGTAGAGAAGAAGTGTTTGTACAAGTGTGCTGATGTCACCAAACGTCTCCACACCAATGTCTCTATCCCTAGGTTAACATTAAACTTAACCGATCTAAATATTATTACTATTGTGATTCTGCGCGTGGCTGAATGGCATGGTCAATCAGACATTCAATATCCATAATCGGATACATTGAGGTGTCCTGTTGATTTACTTTATCAAATTCAAGGGACTGAAAAGTGCAGATTCTATATGTCGACAACGAATAATTTTACAGCAGTAGAAACCGACGGTATAAGTGTCCATGTTTTCCTGTTGGTACACTGTTCCGTGTCCGCGTTCGATGTCCTTTCGCTGTTATCTTATCTTGTGTAAATCTCTGGAATGTCGTCAGTAGGTTTAAGGGACCGACCATTTGATATTCTTGGGGGAATGGGTCAGCGATTAAAATATATATCGTGATAAAAATGATTATGCTTCAGACTGTTGAAAAAAAAGAAATTGCCTGTCACAAAAATAACATTGTTTCAAGGTGTTTCTCTTATATAAAAAATCAGGCTAACAGATCTAAATAAAACAATATCTGATTTTGTAGCTGTAGCTGATAAAATATCTTATCTCAATACAAAATCCCACCCCATTCCCCCAGAATATAAAATGGCCTTTCCCTAAGAGGGAATATTCGTAATAACCCTTACTGCTTTCTTTTCATGCAATGTAAAGTCAATATGATGACGTCAAACGTCATTCGTCTTGGTTTGTGAGACATGCACCTGATGTTTAACTAATACACTTTTTGTATGCTTGGTGTACCAGACCCGGTTTAATGTACGTTGAATATATCATGCATGTGTTGGGCTTTCGTGGAAAGGAGTAATCGTGACGAAGATGTCCCCTTTGTCAAACAGTATCAAGAAAGGATTGGCTTCAGGAGTCACCCAAACTGCCACGTAGACACCCCTTTGGTCAAGGTCATTGTAGCACTTAATATCCTGTTCACAACATTTCCATTTGGATCGATTTCATTCACAACTACTTAATTCGTGAACAATTAGGCGTTTAGAACGTCATGATTACGTCACAGTCGTTGACAGGACAAAATAGGAATAAAGGCTTATTTATCCATATATAGAGGCGAGGATTGCCGCCAAGTGCTCCTGTGTGACGTGTGTCTGACGGCGGTGGTTGCGTCTGAGCTATAAACAGCGGCCAAGGGGTCAAGTGCCCGTCAAGGGGAACTGTCCATTGTAGATAAGGGAATGTCGTCTAATAGTAAAATGTCGGATATCATCTCCTTGTGCAAGGGAGCACTGCTTCGGTGGAATAAGAGGGACTTTTGTATCATTGTGTCATGTGCTATCTGGTAATGTGTTTTAACAGGGCCGTCCTGGCATACAGCAGAACAACACCTATACATCATTAGTACATAGTTGAGCCACTGCATGTCCTACACCACAGTAATAGTGTAACGGCTGCTTGTCATTTTCACGGCGTAGACCTTTGTCAGGTAATGCTTTTAAGCCCTTGTATTCCATTGTAATGTCTGACACGTGAAGATCCGGGGTAGAATAGGTCTTCAGCAACCCATGCCTGCCGCAAAAAGCGACCGTGCTTGTCGTAAGAGGTGACTAACGGGATCGGGTGGTCAGGCTCGCTGACTTGGTTGATGCATGTCATCGTATCCCACTTGCGTGGAACGATGCCCATGATGTCAATCTCTGGATTGTCTGGTCCAGACTCGATTATTTACAGACCGCCGTCATATAGCTGGAATATTGCTGAGTGCAGCGTTAAACAACAAACAAACAAACATTATGTTCTTCAGTGCGGGGCATGAGTGAAGCCCAAGAAACTCTCAGGAGTCAAGCAGCCGAACACAGTCACTGATTCGCGACCGCCGTCATATAGCTGGAATATTGCTGAGTGCGGCGTTAAACAAAAAAACAAACATTGTAATGTCTACGGTTATCCGACGACACCGTGTTCAGTGAGTTCTACACCGGGGGAGAGTTAACGGGGAGTCGCCACACAGTACAGGTAGGATGTGCAGGTTGACTGGAGCAGGTCCGTCACGAGTCCAGTCATCACCTTAGCACAATGAAAACATGCTATTAACTTGAAAATAACACCCATGGTTTGACAGGAATGTTCCGACGCCCTGCCTGGCAATGTTGCATATGAAATACAGCGGCGTGTTGCTCCGTCAGTCATTCCTGGTCAGGTAAATAGAAAGAATTAATGTGATTTAACGGTCATGCTTGGATATTGTGGATATGTGCTACATTCGTTGTACAATTGTATTATACTTCGTAATGTATGTTCTCTTTTCGACCATTGTGTGTTTTTTTTAGAATAAACCCTGTTCTGTTCTGATATTGGCTATGTTAATTTGAAATATTGTTATGTAAGCAATTATATTTTGTTTGAGAAACAATATTTATTTCATAAATAGGAGAAGGGCTAGCACAGGTGGTGTTTATCGAACGTTGGTGTCAACGATTGCAAATCTGACCTGTTTTTTTCTGAGCTGTTTGCCTGTGTGTGTGTGTGTGGGGGGGGGGGGGGGAATATAGGAGTGAGTGGGTGTACTTTAACCCCATCCAGCAATAACCAGTACCACACTCAATCATACTGAGTCACCAGGTTGGGAAACAAACCCGGGTACGACGAGCGAGCGTTTCAACCACTGGGCTACCTTAGCATCCCTTGGAATGAGCAATACACCTTCAGTCAGCAAACCCTTCAAGTCCCCACGTGTGGCTATTCTCGACCTCTCCATTCATAAAACACATCGCAAATGACGTACATCTGTTTAAAAAGAGATATTTGATATTAAGCCTACATATGTTTCAAGGAAGAATTACAAATAGAACATAGCAATCTTCGAAAGAGTAGAAAAAGGGTATGTGGCATTCGCAAACCTCAGTCATATGACACTGTATTCTTAATGTTAGACATCAATGTTAGGGCGTCAGTTATTTCGAGACGACAGTATCACATCCTAGCACCTGCAGACCAGGCGAATGTCTGTTGAAGGTGACGCAAAACAATATTCCTCTGTCAAGCAGTCACAGGAATTAAGTGTTTCTTTCTAATGTGATTCATGTTTCCTCCAACTAAGTGCTCCTGTGGAGCGGGGCATGAAAACATGTCATATCTAATTAAAACAGTTTCATCTTCAAGTAGCAAAGTGGGAGCCAGGGCAATTGTTGTGGTTACCGCAACACCGAAATAAATGTCTGCTCATTATTATTAAGATCAAATTCAGTTTCATGTTCGAATTTCGTCATGAATCGAAGATCACCGGGAGCGAGTTTTATTACTAACCGTTACTGGATGCTTCGTATTTATTACATCCCGGGTCTTAGCTGTTTATACTTAAATATAAACACAGGTGCGACCTGGTCATACACCGGCAAAAAATACACCTACAATTGCTAACTTTTCTTTGTAACAAAACATTCATTTATAGAAATTGACCCAGAATTGAATTGTTTGATAGGCATGACTTAGAAGTTGACGGATGGCAAAACTTTACTTCTTTAATACTGTAACGGCGACGTTTGGGTATAGATCTTTATACCGTTGTCAAGCAAGACTAATAATGACTTACTTACTTACTTACATTGGAGATTTAACGTGCGCTTTCCGACTGATGCGTATTTCGCACACGGGCCCGGCCAGGCCATTTTATGTGTTTCCGAAAGGGGCGAAAGTGGTTTGTGCAACCCAAGAGTGGGGCTAAATAATGGGCATGGTACAGAATATATATAGTTGGTGGAGGATTAACAGTAACAACAACTGCTTACATCAGAGAGATTAACGTGAGTAGGTTAAACAATGACAACAGAAGGATAAAACTGTAACACCATGATGGACAGAGAACACGTGATGAGGAAGCCAATAACACAGGAACCTAATGGAACAGGATCAAGTGTACATAGGTGGGGTGCTTATTGCTTTATGAGTTCATAGTAGGCGGATGGGATGAAATAGCCTTGATCTCTGTTGATTGGCAGTTTGAGGTGGCGAATGTGGACTGCTTCTGTAAGTTTTCTTTTAGTGAAGTCATGGAGGTTGTTAGGGAGGATTTGGACGTCTTCCCGGTTGATGTGATTAGGGCAGTTGCTGATAAGGTATTTGCTAAAGGAGTAGTTTATAAAATTGACTGTAACTGTGGAAATCCTACGTTGGTGAAAACATCCCGCCCCATCAACACCAGAATCAAGAGAACAAAACGTCAACCATCAAATCAGACAGTAAATCAGCCATCTCAGACCATATCAGCAACTGCAATCACAGTTGCTGTAGGGCCATTGTAGAAATATACCCACAATTGCTATCTCTTCATTGTAACAAGACAGTCACAGATGCTGAAGGGTCATTGTAGAAATATACCCACAATTGATATCTCTTCATTGTAACAAGACAGTCACAGATGCTGAAGGGTCATTGTAGAGATACAACCACAATTGCTAACAAGCTATTCCTTGTAGAAATATAATCACGAGTGCCAGATGTTCTTTAAAGCAACAGCCAGGCTTTCCTCTCAAGCCAAGGTGACACACCGTGATTTAATTGAATTACCGTCCACAGCTGCGTTAAAACAAACTTATTCACTTTTTCACAAATACGTCGATTGCAATGACATACCAATGTACCAAATTCACCACTAAAATTACAACGACACGATGCTAGGTTTCCAAGTTACACAATCACTCAATACAGGTCCATTATTTGCATACCGTGATGAGAAATCACTTGTAACTGGCGTTATTATAAAAGGGCAGTATTTGTTCTTTAGATTAGAACCTCTCCCTTCCTCTTCCAGGATGTGACAGTGGGTTCGGCTACAACCTAGCAGTCAGGCTAGACAAACTGGGCTTCACTGTGTTCGCGGGGTGCCTGATGCCCGACAGGGAGGGTGCACGGCAGTTGAACGAGGACACGTCGGACAAACTACACATCGTCAAGGTTGACGTCACTGACGACTGGCAGGTGCGCGGCGCCCTGAAATACGTCAAAGAAAACCTTAAGGAAAATGGTAAGAACATTAATGGGAACTGTATACATTGCTTAAACTAACATCTTGTCTTTGAAATGAACATATTTTACTGCAAAAATACAGTTGTTAAATTGTAGTTATGAAATATAATAAAAAGGAGCCAAGAGACTTTCTCCATTTTCAGACATTGCAGTAATCCAGACTTGCCAAATATTATAGACTTACATGGGCTGTATTGAATATATTTGTGTCAGGGTCTGTATGACAGACTATTCTTTGCTATAAAACCTGTGTATCATTTGTAGCTCACGTGACTGAAAGTCATTAACTTGTCAGCATCTACTCAGAAACTACAAGTCACATGGAGCTGAAAGTGTGAATGAATGATTCTAAGCTATGATGCGTCTAATACATGCTCACAGAAACCGCGATCACGTTTGAAACAGGGCCGTCATGGCGACCATATTCAAAGTGTCATTTTTTACCATTACTGGAATCATATATAATGATTTTTTGGCATAATATAATTATTTTGTATCCCGCTGCTATATTTTCTCGCGTCCTCTAAATTTTCAAGGCCTATGAGGATGAAGTTTGCAAGAATAATCTTAGTTTAGGTGCTCACAAACAACCAATCCGATCTTATTTAAAACCCATCATTGGCTTTTAAAAATAGTTGGTATATCAAAAGTGAAAATGATATCATGGGTTATAAAAATCAATGTAGGTGCAAAACTGGAAAAAAACATACCGTAGACTCCATAGCACACTTACCTGCCACCATATTTCATCAAATTATCTGCATCCATTTGGATTCAATGGCAAAAAGTTAAAAAAAATTGCATGTGGTTGCCATGGAAACTAAACTTGACGTCGAAAAATAATGATTATACCCCCATTAGGAGAAGCTGTATGTAGGATTGTCCTGGCAAAGTCTCCGAAACCCTTTTAAATAGTAGAATATAGCAACACAAGTTCAAGCAGGCCCAAACCTCCATGGAAGGTGGGCCAGCATATGGCGTATTTTGACTAGTGTGCAAGCTACCCTTTGAGCGGCCAAAGCCAAAACAGCCATTGCTGTGGCCCTAGAAGCAGGGGCATGTGACCTGTATTACTTAGTAGATATCTTTCTTGTGACGGTTCACTTAAATGGTACATGACTCTGACCCCAGAAACCCGATACTGACCGTTGCAGTCGTTAGTGAGTGAGTGAGTGAGTATGGTTTTACGCCGCTTTTAGCAATATTCCAGCAATATCACGGCGGGGGACACCAGAAATGGGCTTCACACATTGTTCCCATGTCGGGAATCGAACCCGGGTCTTCGGCGTGACGAGCGAACGCTCTAACCACTAGGCTACCCGGCCGCCCCTGCAGTCGATAGACATTTACACCTTTACGTTGCCCTCAAATATTTCTCCTCTGATACTGCTTCCCCGATGAAGCTGAAATTTGGCATGCAGGTTCCTCCTTACGAAGACAAAGATAAAATACGATTCTATTGTACCACTAATTTAAGTTCGTAATAACCGTAGTTCGTTATAAGCATATATACAGCATGTACACAACAAATGGCCAGGACTAAAACAGAAGTTCATTGTATCGGCCAGTTCATTATGAGCGTGTTCGTTATAAACGTAGTGTACTGTATTTTAAATGTACAACACGTTAAAATATCATATTCTTAAGCAACCCTGTGCTTTAGCTTTGTTCCAATGTAATGCAGGAATTACACCGGGAACACTGGATGAAACAATTTTTTACAATTATTCAGCGTATACACGTCAGCAGTGAAATCAACGGACACAACTGACAATAATATCCAAGTTTGTTCTAGGCATCACTATATAACCTTTTTTCTTTTTCCTAGAATCTTTGTAACAACTTTTCTTTAACTAAGTAAAGATGTTTCTTCCATAATTGGGTGGAAGTGTCATACAATTATGTCTCCGTGCGTCAGGTGAGCTACAGTGCCCCGCGGCACTGTCTACAAAACCACACATAAACATGCTTCAAGTGACGACCACACAGATCGTGCCTCAAGACATATAGACCTTGCTTCAAGGAATACTTGTGTATACGTTGGTCTAATCAAACTTTTACAAGCCTATATAAAATGTAACATGATGCTTTCAACTTTGTATACATTTGGAACATGCGCTATCGTCCCATCTAATGCTGAAGGTGGTCACGTGTATCCTGCTCTAGCGTTACCCTGTGCACTCGGAAACTGCATATTCTATTCAACGTTGACCTAATCAGAACTTTTAACACAAAAAACACTATTGGTGGATGTTTAGCTCGTTCTTCAAAAATTGCGTACAGTCATGATAATATCGGTAAGAGCTAAATATAACGAGCCAAAATAAACAACGCCGAAAACCGAGCGATCCGGCATTGCCAACGAACCCATTCCAGCAGTCGTTACACAATAATAAGACGAGTATGTTACTACCAGGCCAAAACAACCGAAGTTTATGCGCTAATGAAGCTATGCGTTCATGATTCCAGTTCCGCGAGACTCCAGACCTAGACCAATTGTTTGAAATGTTTCAGATTGTGTTCGCAGGACGTACATTACTGCGATATTTCCTGTTTAAAAGACCACGTTGTTAAAAAGAATGGAAAACACGTGGTCTAAAATAGTGTTATCGACGTCAAGCATAAATGATCCGATGAAACACTACTGTAAGATTGTATGTTTGTATACTCACGATGTGACATAGAATAGTATGTCGGGCTCTGAAATGTTTTTATCACTCCTGGTTATTGATACTCAGAGAAGTAAACAACTGTAATTAAGGTATAATTTGTTTGTGTGTTGTTTAACGCCGCACTGAGGAATATTCCAGCTGTTTGACGACGGTCTGTAAATAATCGAGTCTGGACCAGACAATCATGTGATTGACATCATGACCTTCGATCCGTGCATTTAGGATACGATGACATTCATCAACCAAGTCAGCGAGCCTTATCACCCGATCCCGTTAGTCGCCTCTAACGACAATCATAGTTACGGCAAGCATGGGTTAGCGAAGACCTATTCTACCCCGGATCTTCACGGGTTAATTAAGGTATAACAGGCGCATAACACGACGAGATTAGGCGATTGCGTGTGTTTTTGTAACTTCTGAAACTGTTTCTAGTGTGTGCATATTCCATAGTCTGGTAGTTCTCTGTTGGATTTCTTTGGTAGGCCTGGGTTATATATACTGACCATTAATCTCCTGTTATTTTGAACCATATTACTATTAATCTATGATCAGATATTGTGCATGAACACAGAGTTATCGGGCATTGAAACATATTTTGCAAACACATTGGTTCTTTGGCCTAGTGTAAGGGAATAGCTGACGAACCTGCCCCACTTTCTACTTTGTGCAGGAAATTGTAACACATTGTTTCGACAAATCTGGTTTCAGTGCTGTGGGCCCTGGTGAATAACGCTGGCATCGCCGTGTTTACGGAGATAGAGTGGTGTTCCGTGGACCAGTTTCAGCGGGTCATGGACGTCAATGTGTTTGGCGTCGTGAGAGTCACCAAAGCATTTCTACCTTTAATACGTCCGTCTAAGGGACGAGTGATTAATGTGGCCAGTTTGGCAGGTAAGTGATTTAAGACAAATATTGATACAGACTATAACCGTGGTATTAATTACGCACGATACCCCCAGCAACTGGTGCAGCAGCTTCTTTGAAATATTATTTTTCATATTCCAATAAATTGGTTACTTATACTGTGTATATCACAGAAAGTGAATATTTAGATGCAAAATAGTTGTTACATAAAATACACAAACTGCGTATAAGACGTATACACATGGAAATTGACCAAACAAATACAAACGTTATCAAAGCCGTATTAGTCTGAAAACAGTTGCCGAAACACTGCAAGCTTAAAGACCAATACACTACTATGATACCCGCTCAAATACATAACCATCGAAGAAACATTTTTTTAATAGTATATACTTATAGAGAGTCTAGGGAAACGTGGTGTTCGTTCACCTTATGGCGTGTATTAAAACCGACATGTGAAAATTGCAATAGTGAGTGAATGAGTATGGTTTTACGCCGCTTTTAGCAATATTCCAGCAATATCACGGCGGGGGGACACTAGAAATGGCCTTCATGCATTGTACCCATGTCGGGAATCGAACCGGGGCTTCGGCGTGACGAGCAAACGTTTTAACCACTGGTTCGTTTTTGGAATATATGGAGAGGCAAGGTTCTGAGTCACCTTCTTACTTATAAAGTTTGAATTTAGCTGTCAGAAAGCACTTTGGAAGGTGTGTTTTTCTCGGTTTGTTGTGCTTGTTGCACAGTGTGATATTCAGATGGGTCTTTGATGAGAAGTTGAGTAATTGCTTTAAAGTAAAAAGTGTAAAACTAAGATCATGCACCTGCCAGATGTTAATTTGATCTCACGCGCATGCCGCGTTGTTGGCAGACCGTCATACGCTGTCTCTTGAACGTAGAGGTTCATCAATCTCGGATTTTCAAAGCCGCCAACACTTATAACACAAAAACACTCCATTCGGAGTATTTCATGGACTTTCGGTGTATCCAGTTGTTTCGCGCATTAGTAACCGGTATTGTAATTGTAAGTTTGAGTTTACATGTGTCAAGTTCAGGTGAGGTGAAGTGAAATGGGGTTTAATGTCGCGTCCAAGATTATTGCACTTATATAGCGACGTGCATGTACGTGTGTGTGTGGCTGCTTGTACTTGTCCGGACTAATATTGCAACTATAGTGCTAGCACACTGAGATTCCATGCCGCAGTTTAACAAGAACCCCACTCAGACACAGTAAACTGACTCCAAGCCGACCAGTCCTTGTTTTAGCCCCTTAAAGTTCACTCAACACGAATGTCTCATGAATGTTCTAATAAATAGGGCATTCAGAAAGAATGAAAAATGATACCTGGTGTGTTTTAAATACCATTAATTCTTTAATTAAAGTGCATTAACTAAAAGAATTTTAAGAAACAATTTGCCTTGAGAGAAATGCCCCTCCTAAAACGAACTACAGTTACTGAATAATTCATTCCGTTATCTAAGGGGCGGCGGGGTAGCCTAGTGGTTAAAGCGTCCGCTCGTCACGCTGAAGGCCCGAGTTAGATTCCCCACGTGGGTACAATGTGTGAAGCTCATTTCTGGTGTCCCCCGCCGTGATATTGCAGGAATTTTGCTAAAAGCAGCGTAAAACCCTACACTCACTCACTCCCATTATCATAATTACCCTTTACAAAGATATGTCAATGATTCCATTATCTAGGAAGATATTCTTCATGCAAACATTTCACAGTCGACAGTGTTGTATTATCAGGCTTGCCTTTGCAGAAATCTTATCGTCTCTGCAGGTTTTACGGTTTGAGATAGAGAAATTAATATGATTTTACCGTTTGAGATAGAAATATTATGATTTAGCGGTTTGAGATAAGGATATCCTAGTTTTATGATGCTCTCGAGAAGCTGGCAGTCATCAGAACACTGATTACGACACATAGTTACCGGTATTTATCACGGAATATATTAGCAAGGGAACTAGCCGGAATATTTCGTCTGTTGAATGTAAGCAGTGTGGGATTTATCAGTGCCAAATGCTTCATAACTGGTTACATGTTGACAGGGTAAAAGTGTGTTTTTTTGTGTTCAAACAAAGTCAGTAAATGGGTTACCGTGTGAATGTATTCCTGGTCCATCACTTGATTGTCATGTGACACCGTCACATGGTGTCACGTGGTGTCAGGCAACAAACACATGCTTATTTGTGCAAATTGTGTGAGTGGCGAGTGCTTCCGGTAAGGTTAGGACATTCTTACCATTTTCGTGAGCACCTGGTGTCGTCACTGATTTTGAGTGATCCATTCATGTATTTTTCACCGCTATTACGCCTTTGGCGCCCGGTATGCTTCGTTGGATAATCGAGCCTGCTCGTTCTTTGATGCTGACGTTTTATTTTTGTATATGTCGTAACTGATGTGTATATACAATATTTGAGTGTAAAGTTTATTGCTTTTGATAATCATGTCTCCAAAACAATTTATTTGTTTTGTTATAAGATATTATTTGTTTGTTTGTTGTTTAACGCCGCATTAAGCAATACCCCAGCTATATGATGGCGGTCTGTAAATAATGGAGTCTAGACCAGACAGTCTATATGATATAAGATGGATTGGCCATATGGTAACACCGGAAACTACTTCCTAGTTCGTTTAATTACTGTTGGGGAATATATGGGTTCTTCATGTTCTGCTTTTGGAAAAAGAACATTATTGTTATTTTATACAATGGCTACTGGAACATTGTCGCTTGTCCATACAATGTTTTCTCGAACATCATGTGTATAATTTTGTCATAAATACATATTTACAGGTAAAAGTGCGATAAACTTAGAACAAAAACAGTGGTGTACCAGGGTGTATGAAATAGACTTTAATTACCGGTGACAGCAACACTCCGGTGTCCTGACACCTGACACGTGCACAGATGACCCAGATATAACCACAACAGTCGATGCATTGGGGAGACTCTCAAAACATCAAATGCAAATTTTTCACGTGAGGGGTGAATGGGAGTGAAGATAGAAAATATGAAGTTATGATTTGAAAGTGTAAACACTGTAGCCCTTGAAAATTGGTCTACGCCAATAGAAAATTGTACTTTATCTTAATGATAGGATAACGTATTGTTCTTGGAATATTCAGTTACTGGTTGAATGAGTAATGTGAGATTTCATTTGAAATAAGCAATATAGTTTCAGTTCAAAATATTAACTGCTCCTATGTGATATGTAGAAAATCAGATAGCATAAAATTAGCATAACACGTCTTGAAATATACATTGTACTTTTAATACTGACGCCAGAGCAAACGGTTTCCTTTGGGCGGAACTGAACGGACAAAGTTCCTTTCAATCACACAATTATCACTACAGCTCAATATCTGATTCGTCAGAGGAAGAATGTAGCTCGGTCGTAGTGCAATCCAAAGAGATGATGACTGGGGCGACGAGGCTGGTATAAACACCATCACATTTGCGGTACTGATGTTCAGTGTCAAGGATCTTCAACCTTTTGCCAAACTTAGGAGTAATTCTTGCAAAAGAAGTATAATGAGGGTTTTCACATCCTTCAGCTTGAAGGTTGTGTTATTCTTAGCTATAACCCCTTTGCAGTTGGCCCAGATGAGCTATCGGATTGAGCTCACGGTGTCTGACGGGCGAACGTAGGACGACGTGGCCATGATGCTCTACTAGTTTGTCTACCCTGTATTGAAAGGCAGTATTGTTCAGTCGGATCTTTTCCCTAACCTGTATCTTGGTATCAGATGGTTAACATGCGTCATTACAAGAAGTTAGGTAACTGCGTGCAAACAAAGTGCTCATGGCTGGCGTGCCTGTACCGTTCTCGCACGTTGTGATAACTGGCGTCATCAAGGACAATAACACTGGGGTTATGCAGATTAGAGAGAAGCTGGTGTTCCATCCGCTCTTATAACATCCCCATTCATTTCCTGATGATAATCGCCGCAGCCTGTTTAGTCTCAAAGACTGAGTCACACTCGTCAATGAGGCCTTTCTCACGGGTTCCAGCCTGCAATACAAAGACGTTTACCTTCTCATGACGGTACCATGGGTGCGTTAGGCCTATCTGACGGTACCCCCATGTAATCAGTAGAATGATTCTTGTTGACCCGTGGTCTAGTGGTAGAGCGTCCGCCCGGAGAGGCGGAAGGTCCGGGGTTCGATCCCCAGCCGGGTCATACCAAAAGACGTTAAAAGATGGTACTTGTTGTTACCCTGTCTGGCGCTCGTCATTAAGGGCCTAAAACAAGGAATGGTCGGCTCGGAGTCAGTTTACTTTGTCTGAGTGGAGTATTCATGTTAAACTGCGGCATGGTATCTCAGTGTGCTAGCACTATAAATAGGCATCAGTCCGGACTAGTACAAGCAGCCACACACACATACACGCGCATGCACGTCGCTATATAAGTGCAATAATCTTGGACGCGATAGTCATGAATAGTACACAGATAATTTGAACTCATGGATATTATAGAATACTTATAGAGAAATATGGGAAAAAAACAAAAAAAACCAACATAATTATGTATTATGTATTACGTCACATGTCATGGAATAATTGTATAATTATGAATTGTGTGAGATCCACAAGTAAATTGGATATAAATATATTGTACTCTTGGCCACGAAGCCTCCAATACTGAAAAAAGGAATCTTGTAATCTTGAATACTTTTCCCTGAACACCCCCTTGTCGTCCACGCGTGCGGTGTTATAGAATCCAATCTCATGTTGAGCTATGATGTGCGTAGTACGTGAAACGTTTCTCTAATTTCATATGGAATCCGTTTACATGTCGGAGGAACCCTCTGCTCGCACAACTGTAGACCGTGCGTCTTATCAATCCCTTATCAAAACTATCACGTTTTTCTTTTTCTACCAGATGAAACTTTTGATACGGACCCTACCATCTTTTATTTATTTATCAAAACATAGACTTGTTGGTGTGAGATTCCAAGTGCTTGGTATGCTCGGCAGTACACCCATCAACACTAATCAGGGGTTTACCCGTCTCTCTCCT